GGGGATTTCTACCACCACCTGGCTGTCCTGTCAAACAAGACAGCTGGGCTGGAAGAAATGCAGCAACAGTGAATGCCTTCACTGGTATTTGATGTCATCCCTCTGCCTCTTTCTTGTTCAAGGAGAGATTTCAGAACAGGGCTCAAAGAAAGAAAGTATCTTCCTTTTTTTATGAACTGAAAAACAATAGCTGGGAGTCTAGGTTGGACATTTTACCAGATTACATATCCCAAAACACAGATTCCACCAAAATGCCTCATTAAAATCAAACAAAACTGAAGGAATCAAGGATCGATAGATAATAAGGGTAAGATCAAAGAGATGGATGAATTTTCCTTAGAAGAGTTTTGGCTTGTCATCAGGAATAGAACAAGACAGCTATTTATTTACTTATTCTGCCTTTATTATTTTGTTAATACAGTCCTTGGAGGTCAGATTTGCCACAAAGGTACCTAACTAACAGTGACTGATAATTTCATATTGTGCTCCTAAGAATAAAAGAATCTGCATAAGACCAAAGTATAATTATCTGCCAACTAACAAGGAATTCTGAACTTCTTTATCCAAAGCTAAGCTCACCCAGTTGTATGAAGCTCATTTCTAAATTAATTTGTTTAAAATTATAGTGCAAGTCCCAATTACAGAACTATGCTTATCTTGTATGAATTATTATTTTGTTGCAAATTTACTTTTAAATGTGTATTCCTTCTTTCCATCAAACATGGAATTGTAAACCTTTTTACACAATCTATAAAAATAATAAAAAGAGTGCAATCTATATAAACAAAATGTTATAAACATAATATAATAAATATAATTTGGAATCCAGCAATATATTTTTGCTTTTCCTTTGTATTAGCTTCAAATCCATTAAATAATGCATGACAAAAAATAAGCAGAGAAATAAATTAGTAAAATAGTGGCCTTTTAATTAATATGTATTCTTTCTCTGTTTTAAGCTTACAGCAATGACAGCCATTAATCAAGCTACAAACAAAAGCAGTGAAGACTGTAAAGAACTCACAATCTTTCATAAACTTTTGACTAGAACTTAACAAAGGTTTTGTTCTATAATGGATGTTGGATTCTTTTTTATTAATAAAATTTTATTAATAATATCTTACAAAATACTCATTTGGATATTGTGTTTTTGACTGAGAAGCTGTACAATTTGCAGTGAATCTTAGGAAACCTGAAAATGAAATATATTGATGATCAAGTCTGGGGACAATGGAGTAACAATTGAAAATTATATATAAATGGTATCACATCAATGTGAGGAATGATTTTTGTGACTCTGTTTCATCCTTATGTCACAGTTATGCACAGAGGAACAGGAGTGATGTGATTTGTCCCATCAAAGGAAATTTGTGTCACTCACAGGTCTTGCCAGGTTTTTCAACAGCAGTCTACAAATGTCCAGAGAGTCTTCTGGTCACACAGATGAGCTGTACAGATGCTTCTTCCAGTTTCCAAACAAGGCCTTGCAGAAGTGCACAACAAAACAATGCAGCCACTTTCCTTTGCTTTTAGAAGTCGGGTCTGAAGGTTATTTAATAAAGCAGCTTTGAAGGCTGCTGTGCTCAAAGCAACATGAAAGCAAAGTACCCCCTCCAAGCTTTGCACAGCCACATTAAGTACAGAATGCTGTCAACAAAACTTTGTTTTGAAACCTACTGAGAAGATTCCAGCAGGAGTCTCCTCCTGCTGAAGAGCATATTCTCTCTCTCTGTGTGTGTGTGTGTCTCAGCTAGAGGGGAATGATGCAAATTATATCTCACTCAAGCCTACTTGACAACTAGATCTGAAGAAATCAGCAGGTGGAGCATTTCACAGCATGGAGATAAACATTGCTCTGTTGTAATGCCTACATAGACAGCTACTGCAGAAGATATTAGCTGCTCAGCCAATTAGAAAGTTGGCAAGCCTTTTGCATGGGCCCCACAAAAAGAATATTATCCACAAAAAAAAAACCCAAAACAATTCAGCTGCTTGTAGAGCAATGTGTTGACCTAATCAAAATAATCCTGACAATAATTGTATGAATTGGCCCACAATTAACAGGGCTGAAGGAAGTCATAGGAATAGGCCTTGAATTCAGAATGAGGTTGAAATCATCCCAAAAGGTCTAGCAAACAATTTGTTTCTTCCTGAGTCAAAGAGCAATCAAAGGCCTCAGTATGTGAGAAAGGATATATGAATCTGGACAAAATCTTGCATTTTATCTGTAGATTTTCCCTCCTACAGTAAGATTCCCCTCCTACAAAATTGGCAGCCTTTCAGAGCAGAGTTGGAAATTGAAAGGGCTGTGAGAAGGGATAGTATCTATAAATTACCTCCAGCAAAAAGTCAAAGCTAAAAAAAAAAAAAAGTAAGATCACATGTGGAATACTGCATCCAGTTTTGGTCACCCCATTATAAAAAAGAATGGTTGTAGGAATTGGGTATGGCTAGTCTAGTGAAAGAAAGGAGTAGGGGTGACACGATAGCAGTGTTCCAATATTTTGAGGGATTGCCACAAAGGAGAGGGTATAGAGCTATTTTCTGAAGCATCAGAAGGCAAGACAAGAAAAATGGTTGGAAACTAATCAAGGAGAGAAGCAACCTAGAACTAAGGAGAAATTCCCTTAGTTAACCAGTGGAATGACTTGCCTTCAGCACTTGTGGGTACTCCATTACTGGAGGTTTTTAAGAAGAGACTGGAAAGCCACTTATCTGGAATGGCATATAGGGTCTCCTGCTTCAGCAGAGGTTGGATTAGAAGACCTTCAAGGTCCCTTCCAACTCTGTTATTCTGTTAAAGAACCTTGTTTTATTCTCTGAAAAGAATATTACGATGCAGCAATATGCTAATAAAGAGAATCCCACAAGCTGCAGAATAAATAATTATCAACCAAGCATTCAAATTTCTCAAACCCCTCCTCCAAGTCAGTGCTGGTTTGAAGGAATAAATAACAGAACTTGTTGAGGGAAATGAGAAAAATGTGCTATTGTCAGAGACTATTATTTGAATTCCCTGGATCACTTATTTGAAAGTAAAAACAGTGCAGATGCAACACTAAATAGAATTAGTCTTTTCTCTGTGTGATTTCCATGCATGGAAGTTTTCTTTCATTGTTATTCTTCATCCACAGATGAAAATAGACAAGAAAAAAAGAACTTGAATTCTTATAATTTGGACAGATATTAGCATTGCAAATATATTTCAAATCGGCTGTGAGTGCACACTTTGACAAGAAGCATTATTTTAAAAGATCCCCAAAAATCTTCTTGAAGATTTCCAAGTATGCCATCAACTTGCCCACAATCTCCTTACCATGATTCACATAACCAGGTTGGCTTAATGAATCCAGTTTTCATGCTTTGCATGACATACACTGAGGCATAAAGTAACTATACTGACTCAGTTTGCATAGAATGCGAAATCAACACATGGGTTGCTTGATTGCTGTTTTGTGTATTCTGTGAACCAAGCCAGTATTCTTTGTAAAACACAATTTGTAGTTAATATGTTTTGAGAGGTTACCTCATTGCAGTTTGTTGAACAAAGAGTGCAGTACAAAAACAGTATTGGCGATTTCTTTCAGTCTTTTATTTATATGGAACAAACGTTTCCATCTGACATCCTTCAGAGTGCAAATTTGAGAAGAAATTCCTATTTCATTGGATTCTAAGATTGATGGAGAGCACCTCAACTTCCATGTTTAAAAGCAGAAAGTCTTCGAAAGCCCATGGCCTCTTTCTAGACTGTCTAGAAATTTCTGGCTGGGCTAGAGGACTATTTCATCTGAGTTAGCAAGGAACTTTGTATACTTGTGGAAATTAACCATTTAGTTTATATTTAGTATATATATTTAGTATATAGGCTGCATTAACAGAGGGATAGAATCAAGATCACGTGAAGTATTAATACCACTTTACAATGCCTTGGTAAGGCCACACTTGGAATACTGCATCCACCACGATGTAAAAAAGATGTCACCACGATGTAAAAAAGATGTTGAGACTCTAGAAAGAGTACAGAGAAGAGCAGAAAAGATGATTAGGGGACTGGAGACTAAAACATATAAGGAACGATTGCTGGAATTGGATATGTCTAGTTTAACGAAGAGAAGGACGAGGGGGGACATGATAGCAGTATTCCAATATCTCAGGGGCTGCCACAAAGAAGAGGGAGTCAGGCTATTCTCCAAAGCGCCTGAAGGCAGGACAAGAAGCAACTGATGGAAACTAATCAAGGAGAGAAGCAATCTAGAACTAAGAGAAACTTCCTGACAGTGAGAACAATTAACCAGTGGAACGACTTGCCTCTATAAGTTTTGAGTGCTCCAATCCTGGAGGCTTTTAAGAAGAAACTGGACAGCCATTTGTCCGAAATGGTATAGGGTTTCCTGCCTGAGCAGGAGGCTGGACTAGATGACCTCCGAGGTCCCTTCCAACTTTATCATTATCATTATCATCATTATCATTATCATTATCATTATTATCATTATTATTATTATTATTATTATTATTATTATTATTATTATTATTATTATTACTTCTGCCTTATAATGATGTTTCATTTATTCTTTTCATTTATTTTCTTTTTTCGTGCTGGAGTTCAAGTCTGTGCAAGCAAGCGTTCAGCTGATGGATGCCCAAGCATAAAAGTACTGTATGGCACTCTGCACATGCTCCAACTTCGGTTTCGCCCAGCTGCAAACGGAAGGGAAGCAGCGTCGATTCATGGCTGCACTTGGCGGCGAGCAGAACAGAAAGGACAGGTGAGGGCGGCGCCACGGCTGGCGGCAACCGAGGGCTGAGCGCGCGCTCCCTCCCTCGTTCGGACGCCGCGGCTCGTCGTGGTCGCCTTGCGAATCGGGACTCGGCTGAGAGGCGGGGAAGGGCCGGAGCGGAGGGGGGGGGGTTCGCCGGCAACGGGAGGAACAGCCGCCAGCAGCTGCCGCCCTCCCTCCTCGCATCCCCGCATAGTCGCAAAGGAAGCTCCAGAGCGAAGCATGGATGGCGCTGAGAACCCGGACGCAGCTCCTGCCTCCTCTTCCCCCGAGGAGCTCCGCTCTGCCCTGACCCTGACCAAGGGGCTCTCCATCTTCCTGGATGTAAGCGCGGCGGGTCCCTCGCCTCCCCTTTTCGGGCTTTGATCTGCTGCGTCCTTGGGCGCCAGCGAAGTTCGACCCTTTTCTCTTGTGAACGAGATGGAGGTCGGCCAACTGGGGGTGACGGGGGTGGGGGTGGGAGGGCATCCCTTCCTCCCTTCCTTCCTTCCTTCCTTTCTTTTTTTTTATTATTGCAAACATGTAACAGGTTGGGCTTTTGCTCCTCTCTGTGTGCGGAAGCCTCAACCTGTTGACTGTTTGCCCACCCCAAATCGATGTGTAGCAAGAATTCCCTGATCTTAAGGAGATTATCCTGTCAAATGATGCTAATACCTAGATCGCAGTTATTTGATATGAGCCCTATTAAGAGTCCTCCAGATTAAATCCCTCTGGCTGAATGCTAAACGACCTGAGGCACAAATCACAGGTTCTGGACCATTGCAAATACATTAAGCTGTTTTGCACTGCTCTATATAAGAAAAACAGATTTAGATCAACAGTTTTTCCATGCTGTTTTATTAGACATTTAAAAACACAACCAAGAAAAGGGAAAGTGTTTTTTCTCATGCTTTGTAGTAAAATGCCAGCTTACTAGTTCTTCTATTCAGATTTTATAAAAATGCCACATTTTTTTAAAAAAAATGTAAGTATTTAAAATGCGGCATTTACAAAATTATTCACAATGATTCTGTATGACAGGAGTGATTCAATTTGCTCTAATATCAATAAAGTATCTTTCCAAAGCAAAAGAGTTGGTTGTTCAGGATAGGAAATTTAGAAAATGTGTTGTGAATTTTAGATTACTTGATGCTTCCTTAGGATGGTCTCAAATGATAATGATAAATCTTTGGTACAACTTAGACCAGTGCATGATTGGTGGGCATTATGTACCCACTTTATTTTGTGTGCTAAGCAATAATAGGAAAAGTGGTTCTGGTCTTGGTTTAGGGCAGGTGAGATGTGGTTTTTAAAATCAGCTGAGCCATAGGATGATTTTAGTTCCTTTATTATCTCTCTGATTAATATGTTTCATTAAATTAGCATGGTGAAAAATAAAAGGAGGATATTCATGTACAACACTTGGAACTCCTGGAACAAAAGCAAAATATAATTGTCATAAATGATAGAATAACAATTTGTTAGGACCATGTTTGATTTAAAAATAAATCAAAGAGAAAATGCTAACCTTTCAAACTAATTAGTGAATTATTGTTGGATCTAATAGTTCCTATGGAAAATAGATAAATGCAATAAACATAGAATTTAGTATTTAAATGGATTATTTTTCATTTCAATATATAGGTGATTTTTCAACTTCCAATGGCTGTATACATACAAAATGTTAAAACATCAGTAAAAATCACAAGAGTATTGTTTAAAGCAGTTTTGTTATAATGTTATTGCAAACAGGCAAAAAATAATCTTGGTACAGAATTAGCAACATATTATATTTAAAAACTTCATGTATCAAGTATCAAATAAAACATTTTAATTTTTATTTACAAATTTCAGTATGTATTTTTTTTTCCAAATTGAAATGCTTTTAGATTATTAGAAGCTCTTGATAGGTTTGGATATGGAAGGTAGGGTAAAATCTTTTGTTGTCAATTGCACAAATATATTAAATCCTAAACACTATTTTATGTCTTCTGAAATACCATTCTTTGTTAGACAATACTATATATCAGTAGTCTTAATATTCTGAAGTCACATATTAAAATATGTGCCAATATGAGAAGTGAGAATATCTAGTTAAAATTCATCAAATATATTCAGTGTCACAGGTGATTCCAGTCCTCATATAGATAAATCCTCAAATACCGAATAGCTATACATTTGGACACTTTTTCATGAAAATGGGTCAACAAAGTATGGGGATTCTACCTACCAGAAATCCATCCATGTAATTAATTGATGAAATTACAAAAGTCTATTCCATTGTGGATTTACACATGATTGGTAGTTCAGATCCTTACTGAGATGTATGGATGCACTGTGGATCAACATTTCCAACACCAGTCTTTTTTTGTAAAATGTTCCCAGAATACCACAAAGAAGTAGAACATCAAATGAGAACACCTATTCAGTGTTCCCTGTAATTGTCTTCAGCCAGGCTGATACATCATCCCACAATTGATTAGAAAACCTGACAAAAGTGAATTATTTTACCTGGCACCAAATACAAGAGCAATCTTGGCATCTAATCAATTGCAAATGTGCACCACCTATGGATCTAAAGAAAATACCATCACTAAATGCACCTTTCTTCAAAAATATATCTGTACTGTGTATTGTCTGTACTGGGATCATAATTGATAAGCCTTTTTAAAAAATCCTTTAAAACATTGCTATGTTTAGAAAAGTATAAGTGTGTCCTTGTAAGTATTACAATATTTCTTTGTTGATACTGATATATATTGATTTATTCCCTCTTAGATTCTGAGAAGAGCAGATAAAAATGGTAAGTCCAATTATTTGCTTTTCTTTCTCAGAACATAATAAGACAGTGAGGGAGTTGGAGGAACATTTAGTGTGATTGCTCTGTTTTCCTGGGAGAGGTAGTAACTGGTGAACTTGTCACTTCAAAATTACCTGGCTGGGGAGCTTGATCTATCATCACTGGCAACTTTAAGATGTGTGGACTTCGATTCCCATGCTAGCTGGGGAATTCTGAGAGCTGAAATCCACACATGTTAAAGTTACAAAGTTGAGAAACACTGATCTAGATGGTATTGGTTATGGGAATCCACAGGAGACTGTAGGCAAGGGATGCTATGCTTGCTATGGCATCATCATGCAAATGATACAAATTACATAATGCAGGTGTGCAATCATATCATGCTACATGCAACATCATTGTAGCTTGCATTGGCCATCTATGGTGCCATCTCTGTGGAGATCATCTGACTTGTTGGGATATATGATTGAACAGGAATTATAAATCTATCCAAAGCTTTTTACATATACAAGCTTGTTTACGCATCATGTGAAGCCATGGCTGAACCATTATTTGCTGAATAAATAACAATGCTGAGTCCATACACCATGACAAACATTGTTTATACTCTACAGTGGTTAGGCTTACCCACACACTAAATGAAAACAAAACAAACTAACCATTTAAATCCTTGACCTAAACTATTGCTATGTATCATTCTGGCAGTAGTATGCAACTAGATTAATAGGTCAAGGACCATAAATGGCCCAATCATGGGCCAGACAGGGTCTTTCCCTCTGACACACTAGTGTTTCTTGTAGTCTTACACACAACTTTTATACTTAGGCAGGGCCCTCCCTGTGGATTTACACATCTTCTAGAGGTATTTAATCATTGTTATGCCACTTAAACAATAATGAGAGGTTTTATGTCACCACAGTGATGGCCAGAAGGGAAACAGCTTTAATATGAAAATGGGAAAAGCTCTGGTTGTAATTTCCACCCCTCAGATATAAGTATTACAAATTCCCTGTGATGCCAGGAAAAGACACAGCTGCTCTGAAGAGCCAGTCAGGTGCTACATGCTTTGAAACCTCTTTTTCAAACTATTTCTAGTGTCTTCCCACTTCACTGCAACTTATGAGCAAAAACTTTGCATTTTAAGAAAAGCATTTCTTAAAGCAGAAAAGATTTCATAGCTGGAAATGCAAATCTGGAACTGTGGAGCAACAGCTGTGCAGACCTTTCAACGCTCTGAAAAACAAGGCACTAAAAATCCAATAATTAAGAACTGATGAAAAGCTGAGGAGGGATGGTTGAGAATACCTGATGTTAGCATCATTCATAACAGGCCAGGAAGAACAGCTGTGAACCAAATAAACAAAAAACAAAAAAGCAAATGAAGCAGAATGGATGAAACCCTAAATAAAATAAATATGAGATTCCTGTTCTTGAACAGATTTTTAGTTGTAGTAAAACAATTGGGGACAACAAAATCTGACCTGCTGTTTTAAATATAAACTGGCCCAGTTTCACACAAATCTGTCGAAGAAGCTGATGGGATGATCCCATCTCCATGGCAAAAGCTAATTCTATTTTTTCAATTATTATTTTCTACTATAATATTTTACCAATTATCATTTTACCACAAAAACAGCTGCAACATTATTTGAAGATGATTTCAAAACAAGTTACAAATTTGTTCAAGAAAATGTTTCTTCTTCATTTACATCATGGGTTTTACTATTGATTATCTGGTTGAAATATCAGATGTTTAAAGTAAAATTAATAGCACAGTTCTATACAGTCTATTGAGAGTTATAGCCACCTGGATTCACTAGAACATATCCCCAGGTCGATGAGTAAAGGATTCTACTATATGTAATAATAGTAATAATAATAATAATAATAATAATAATAATAATAATAATAATAATAATAACAACAACAACAGCAACAACAACACTATACTACTACTACTACTACTACTACTACTACTACTACTAATAATAATAATAATAATAATAATAATAATATGATGATGATGATGATGATGATGATGATGATGATGATGATGATGATGATGATGATGATGATGATGATGGAAGGGACCTTGGAGGTCATCTAGTCCAACCCCCTGCTCAGGCAGGAAACCCTATACCATTTCAGACAAGTGGCTGTCCAGGCTCTTCTTAAAAACTTCCAGTGTTGGAGCATTCACAACTTCACAATTGTAGTCTTATTGGTAGAATGTATCCAGTCAACATCTCCAAGATGAGGCTACAATATCATGATCCAAGTCCTTCCCTTTCTGCACTTATGTGCAACATCAGGAAATGTATGAAAGGAGTTTGGATTGTGAAATTATGCCCCACCCTATTGCAAATTTTAATACTTACGTGCATTGACATTATTTGACTGTAGCCATCTTTTGCGATCTGTATTCTCTCAAAACATCTGGACTTGAATTATTCACAATAGTCATGCTGGTTGGGAGATACGTAACCAGTAAGAAGGAGCAGAATATTGCATTGGTTTCAGTTGGGCATTAATTTTGCATTAGCTGAATTCACAATTATGTTTTATAGCAACAGGATTATTAGATATTAAAAGCCTTGTGTATTTTCTGATACAATGTACCTAGATGACTCAGAATTTTACAGATAATCCTTGTTTAGTGACAAAATTGGGACCAACAACCTGGCTGTTACTTCAGGTTTCCTTTACTTTACAGACCTGTGAAGGTCATAAATGTAAAGATTTGCATTTATAAAAATATAATTTAAAAAAAAAATTCATCACCATCGTAACTGTGAATAGTGCTAAATGAGTCAATCACTAAAGGAGGACTACCTGTATAAGCATCAGTATAAAGAAGTCTTCTTCCCTTCCAGAAATCTTCTTACTCTAGCTATACTTAAAATTATACAGCTAGGATCCAGCTGCTGGATGATAGCCTGATGAAAAAGCTGAGAGAATCATTGATGCATAATTATCAGATAAAACAAATATCACGTTACTTGCTCAGAACAGGTTTCTATGGCTACTTGAGATGCTAATGAAATATTTTAGAAAACAGATAGCTAAGCCTATGAAAGTTGGTAAAAGCACTGTTGCAAAGGAAATGGATATAATATTGAGCTATCTTTCAGTGTACCTGAAGTAAATGTCATTTCAGAAAAGATCTCTGTTTATGAATCATATACAGCAAAGCCTGGTTTTTTAGTTTTCACTGAAATTGGATTTTACTTTCACTGTGGCACTCATTCAAGAAAAATGGGTCCAAAATCTCTTAGTGAACAAATATTTAGCACTGATGGCTTCTGATGATGCAACAAATATCAGTGGAATTTATTCCTGTGTAATAGGGCTAGCAGATCTAGCCCTACTCCACAGGAATCAAGCTGTGGGTTCTCTATCACTGGAGGTTTTCCAGAAGAGACTGGATAATTTGCCTGAATGGTGTAGTAGGGTCTCCTGCCTGAGCAGGGCTTTGGATTAGAAGATTTTCAAGGTCTCTTCCAACATATTATTCTACGTTCTATATTTTATGTCCTAATAGTCACATAGTTTTTTTTAAAAAGGCGCCTGAAGGCAGGACGAGAACCAATGGGTGGAAACTGATCAAGGAGAGAAGCAACTTAGAACTAAGGAGAAACTTCCTGACAGTTAGAACAATTAACCAATGGAACAACCTGCCTCCAGAAGTGGTGAATGCTCCAACACTGGAAGTTTTTGAGAAGAGACTGGACAGCCGTTTGTCTGAAATGGTGTAGGGTTCCTGCCTGGGCAGGGGGTTGGACTCGATGACCTCCAAGGTCCCTTCCAACTTTATTATTATTATTATTATTATTATTATTATTATTATTATTATTATTATTATTATTATTATTATNATCATCATCATCATCATCATCATCATCATCATCATCATCATCATTATCAAATCTATGTGACTATTAGATAGAAGCAATGAAATAGATGTTATCCCAAGATTCCTACTCTACAATAAAATCCTTTTGGACAAAGATGGAACATTATCTTATGGTTGGCCCAATCTTTGGAATTATACTGATAGTTTCTAGGAACCAAAGATTATTGGCTGATAAATTTTATGATTCAAAAACATTAAGCAATATATTATTTTAAAATAACTCTCTCCTAATAACCTATGGCGGGAGACCTCTGTCTAACACGTATTATTACTTTAGTTTTCCATTGTTTAAAGGTAATCTATAGAGGAAGCTCAAGCTTTTTCTGAGAGAAGGCTATTACTCCTATTTCTGGAAACATGAAAAACTAAGTCCAAGGAAATTCCTATCTGCCTCTTTAATAATCTTCCCTCCCAATTTTTAAAAGTTCACCTTTATGAAAGTGCAGCAACAAAAGGAGGGAGGACTGATAAGGAGCTATTCAGACCTAGGATGCAGTGAACAGAATATCTTCGTAATAGTCACTATGCAGAAAATATGCAGTCATGTAGCAGAATTTACAGGGTTAATTAAATTAGGAAGATATTAAAATGATAGTAAGGTGGAGCAATAAAATACAGTGGCTAGAGCACTAAAGGATTAAATATTGAAAATTAATTGCTGCACTATATAACTATTTTGCAAAGGGATAAAAGAATAACCTATTTAGTTATAAAATACTGTGGAAAAATAGAGTGAGGAACATAAAGCTCTTCAAATGTTGCTGAACTGTCAATAAAAGGGAAAAAGTCTGAGCTGAGGTCAATTGCTGATGACCTCCTGGATAGTCTAAATAGATTTAGCAACATGAACAAAGAGTTTTCTCATCCTTCTGTTTTTCTTATTACTTCCCAATTTAGCCTAAAGCCTTATGGTCTGCTGTTGAAATTGTTCAAGATACAGTATCTTAGGTCCTGCCTTCTGTTATAAATTACTAATAGCTCTAGCCAAAATGGCTACCAGAATTTGATTCGAGAATTGGAATGCCTTGGGTTCTGATGAAGCTTCCATTGTCACTAAAATGCCTTAAAATTATTCTCTGCTCAGAGCAGTTTTACTTGTCTAGCTGCTAATGTCCCTCTGAGAAAATTGAATGTTATTTTTGCATATCTTTTTTTCTGTGAGAATGCCATGATAAGGTTTTAATATATATAACAAGGCATGGGGAAATAAAAGAAAAAAAATGAACTTCTCATTTTCTCTGTCAAGGGATAGTCAAGTAAAATATTTTTCAGGAGTAATCTTAGCCCTGGATAATAAATGACAGTCATATTTATATTTTGTAGTAGGTGAGATAGCTGTTTGCACTCTTGAGCTGATTTGACCACTAAGACAAATGGTGAAGAATACTGTGCATAAGGGGAAGGCTCTTCACAGGCTATCCTTATGTCTATTTCCCATGTGATCTACAGTGAGCTTTGCAATAATCAGGGATGGTGGTCCCAAGGACAATGGGACTTGTGTGCTCTATAAAAAAAACGTTCATCTTTACAGTAATCATGAAAAGTCTGTAAGAACACGAACAACCAAATTTCACTGAACCACAAAAATGATCATCTGTAGTCATAAGAAACACATTTTTTCTAATATTATTATATCTATGTATGAGACAGAGAGATTTTCATTTTATGCAGAAATTTATAAACTAGAAAAATTACAGCCTGTGGTGCTTCCTTTTAAAAAGTCATGATCTTCACATTAGTTGGAGTAAAATGTCTCTAGGTGAGCAAATCTTTCTCTGATTTCAGATGATGGCAAATTGTCCTTTGATGAATTTAAGACTTACTTTGCGGATGGAATTCTGAGCATAGAGGAGCTTCACCAGCTGTTTCAGAAGATTGACATACACAATACAGAGTAGGTAGCATTGATTTTAAAATAATCAATTCAAAATCTCAAGGCAAGGCTGCTTTTTTGTATGGATTTGTCAGGTAAACTTACTGCTTTATAAATAATGTACAAAATGAATGCGTGTATGAATAGCCTCATCCATAATCTACAAACCTTGAATGTTTCTAAGGATGCAGGCTACAGTAGTGGGGTGGATGGAGTGGAGAAGTTATCCATACTCTTTGAGTAACAGTGGATTGTTTTGTATTGTCATATAAATGTTGAGAAAGTGCCTTTTCCCTTTTTATTTCCCTTTGTTATAATGCCATTCTGCCATTTTGAACTGTAGTTTACTTGCATAGGCATGTGTCACCATTATTGGACCAATAGTAAAATATGTTTTAAAAATGCTATTGTACAAAGGGAAAATAAATCCCTTCCAAAACTGTCTATGGAGATTCTCAATCATCCAGGTTATGGCTGTCCCAAAGGTGCTTTTCAAAAGACAACTGGACTTTCTTGGATTTTTCCTTGAAAACATTTCGCTTCTTATCCAAGAAGAACTAAAGAAACTTCTTGGATGAGAAGTGAAACACTTTCAGGGGGAAAAAAAAGAAAGAAAGTCCAGTTGCCTTGAAAAAAGCACCTTTGGGATCCTTCCAAAATTGTAAAGCTGCTCCTATATAAACTTCCCTGACCCCATTAATTCAAAAGGTGAAGGAAATGGCCCTACAAATTCTATTGGATTCAAAGAAGAATGTTATGCATACATACACATGCTTTCCTTGTGCATGTGTATTTAAATATAATTTAGAGTTGCCTCTATACAAAAACCTCTGTGCTTATTTGCATTACATTCCATACAGGAATCCTAATGCCTACAAACTCTCATTTTATGCTATCCACTGGGAAACAATCATAGCCATTTGTTGTCCTGCAGTTATATTAACAGATGACATGATGTTATCTGGATTTGGATTTAGCTTACAATTCTAATATGCCAGCCAAATAAGCATGTCTTCCAAGTTACCAACTCAGAGTTTGAACCATATTCTGTGATTAAAATATCCCAACATGTAGTGGTGCCTTTATTAGGCTAAGTACTGAAGGGTTCCCAGATTTAGACTTTAGAAATTCAAATGATGATTTGATGGCAGCATTATGATGTTCTGTGGTGAACATTAACTCTTTGTTCCCATTGATGGTGGTACAGATTTTTTGGGCCAGATCTGAAAGCCTTAAAGTTAAGCAGGCTTTGTGTTTGGACTTTGCAGGTAGTTACTGTGAAAATCTTGCTGATGGGATTATTTCTGCTTTGGTGTTTGCATTTGGTGCAGCTGCTATAAGCTCACAAGTCTTGGCAGGTAGAAACCAAAAACCATGGCAACCCATTTAAGGTCAAAATCCAGGAGAGAGCTTTGTCAATCACAAGTCTAACATGATAATTGCAGGTTTAACATTTAACATTTTCAAAAATGCAAATCAGAAAATGCATGTTGGATCCCCTTTTTTGCTAGAAGTGATCTCAACATCAATCTCTTTGACAATCTGAAATTTCCATTAGAGACATGGAGCTCACCTGGCATCTGCCACTACCTTACCCATCTGTAGCAATTACTATATTAATAACAGCTGTGTCTTCAAGCCTCCTTGCCCAAGATTGTGAACAGCAGTGATGGGATTCAAATATGTGAACAACTGGTCCTCTGTGTGGATGACGCTTCCGGTAGTCCATTCTGGGTCTGGGCAACAAAAAATAAGCTACCGGTTCTGCCGAAATGGTGCAAATTGGCTGAATCCCACCACTGGTGAGTAGGTCCTGTGTCTCTTTCATACCAAACCAGGCTCAAGACTGCTTTGGGGGGTAGAAGTGCTTGCTTGCCAGCCTTTAGGAATGGATCCACTTTCCTGTGGTTGATACCAGGAATCTTGAGCTTGCAAAGGCACAGGTTGAGCAAGCTAAACTAATGTTCTTCTTTTACCAGAAGGAGCTCAGCTTCAACTTTCAGTCAAAATTGGAAATGTTAATCCAACTTTATAATGCCTTGGTAAGACCATACTTGGAATATTGCATCCAGTTTTGGTCACCATGATATAAAAAAAGATCTTGAGTCTCAGAGTGCAGAGAAGAGCAACAAAGATGATTAAGGAACTGGAGGCTAAAACATATGAAAAACGGTTGCAGGAATTTGGTATGTATGTCTAATTTAATGAAAAGGACTGAGGTGACATGATAGCAGTGTTCCAATATTTGAGGGGCTGCCATAAGGAAGAGTGGTCAATCTCCAAAGCACCTGAAGGCAGGACAAGAAGCAATGGATGGAAACTAATGAAGGGGAAAAAATGTCATAGAACTATGGAGAAATTTCCTGACAGAACAATCAGTGGAACGATTTGCCTCCAGAAATTGTGGGTGCTCCAACACTGGATATTTTAAAGAAGAGATTGGCTAACCATTTGTCTGAAATGGTATAGAGTTTCCTGCTTAAGCAGGGGATTGGATTAGAAGACCTCCAAAATCCCTTCCAACTCTGTTAGTCTGTTATCTGTTAACACAAAGCAAGCCAAGAAGAAGATGGAGAGACAACATCAAAGACAAAACTTTTTTTGGTGTAAGAGTTTGTTTCCACTCTGATAAAGAGTCATGAAACTATAATTCAAATAGTCAGCTGCTAATTTCTCTCTTATGGGTGAAAACCAGTCCTCCATCTCACCAGAGCATGGGAAGGCTGCTACAAAGAAAATAGAAAAGTCTCCACCCTAACATACACAAAATATAATGATTCTAAATGGAAAATAGCTGCAAGTTGTATAATGTCTTCCCTTTCATGTCAATAAATCTTGATAAAAGTATTCTGAGATACGGTAGAAAGAAGCACTTCTGTTTTAGGCAACTGTCCAAAAGCCTGACTCTGTCCTAAAAACATGTTTATTTTAACCTTGGTCAAACAAACCAACTTTGCACTTCTTCCTTTTGCTACTAAAAATCTTAATCATTTCATTTAGAATAGATATTGTCATAGGATTTGATGTCTTTTCAAATTTCCTTATCCCATCGCAGAAGCTTCTTTTGAGTTTTAACAAACCTCTTTTGTAAATCCTGTAAAGAGTCACTGTCCAGGACATCTTGGACTGTCATTTGTATTTTGATTTTAATTGTCATATCCGTTTCATAATCCACATTTTTCATTTTCCAGTATTTCAACATTTTCTTTATATTTTAAATTTTCTACAACAGATAAGGCTTGTTCCAGCTCTTTATTCTGTAGGTCCTGTAGAAAGAGACAGGTATTCTCTTTCAAATTTGTCATTTTGGTAAAGAAAAATTAGAGTCTTTGAAATACTCTTTATGCTGCAAGACAGCAAATTGAATTTATAAAATATCTTTTATTTGAGAAGGTTTCTTGTCATTATCTTGCTTTGCCATTTTCAACTATTCCATTTTGCATATAATCGTAAAGCTTATTTCAAACTTGCTATTCAAGGTTGAAAAGCTGGAAAATTTGAGCTGCAATTGAGCTGCATATTTAGTTTGAAATAAATAAATAAATCATATGTAAACTTTAATCCATGCAAATCAACATAATAGAAATTGATAATAAGCTAAAAACTTACACTTAAATTATTAGCTGATGTACAAACCTAATTAAAAGAAGTTGATGACAGAATTCATGAAATAGCAATGCATTTTCTATATTATGTCTTTTCCTTGCAGCAACTTGGAAACTGAAGAACTATTTGGTAAGTAATTGTTTTTTAATTAAAATTAAAGAATCAAATTGATCGCTTCCAGGAGGAGAAACTAGTGAGTCTGAGTAAGGACAGTTGAATTTGTTTCATTGTTAGTGCCTAAGAATTAATTTAATTAAAAGCAAGTCATAAATGCAATGACAATGTTGAAAAATGGTAAGACTACAGGAGTTGATGTATGCAAAGTGATTTTATCTTAGGGGGTCTTCAGGTCATTGAGCAACATATGAATGTGGGAAAGTTTATTGTACAGTTCTTCACTAAGAGAAAACATATGATAAAGTGGCTGGAATTATGAAAGTATGCATGAAGATGAGTGCAATAAAGATGAATTATGATGAAAGTAAAGCTTGCAGGAGAATAAATAGAATACTTCACAAATGGTTCAATATTTAGTAAGGAGTAGGGTATATTATGATTCCTTAGCTCTTTAATGCATTAGTGCAGACATGTCAAACTCGCAATGTCACATGACGTCGTGCAATGTATCGGGACGGTTTTGCCATTGCCGGCAATGGGGTGGGCGCGGCTTCCGGATGACGCATCTGGCCCGCGGGCCGGCAGTTTGACACCCCTGCATTAGTGGATAGGTTTTCCTGGGTGTGCATGTGATGACTTTAGAATTGTGTTGGTTGGGGACATGAATGCGCCTGTATCTCTTTACATAGGCAATACTGCATTATTATATTAAATATCTTTCTCATTGTGTTTTAATATAAAAATCTTTTTGGAAAGATATCTGCCCCTGATTTTCTTAACTAACTTTTATTATACTTTTTGAAGCAAGCATATAAACCGTCCATCTGCCCTCTTTCTCTTTCCTAAACTACACTTTGACATTTTCTTTCTTTGTTTATTCCTCCTCTTCTTCCTTCTTTCTTTTGCTGCTGCTAAAATAAAACGAGAACAAAGTACATTCAGAGGGATTTACCAATTCTCTCTCTCTCTCGCTCCCCCCATTTTGATTTTTCGATCTTTCCACTTTTTGATTCTGTATTTCTATCTATTTTAGAATATTTTTCCCAGCATCTGGGAGCTTATGAAAGCGTCCTATCTGCTTTGGAAGATCTCAATGTAGCCATACTGAAGGCAATGGATACTACAAAGAAAGTAGGGTTCCTTATGTTATTTTTCCAACTGTATGATGTAATGGGAGCTCGTATTGCTTAAATATATAAGAATTTGCTCTGTGAGTAAAGAATTGCTATATTTGCTTAGATGGAGGACAAAGTGTCATCAATCCCAGCTCAATCAGCTCTTTCAAGCTTATTTGAAATATTTCTGGGGCCTGAGCATAGAAAGTTAAATTGATACATACACCCATCCCCCGCACTAGATGCTATACCAGTGTATTTTTTTTCTCTACTGTTTCCTCTAAATTGTAGCCAGTGGTGCATGGAAATTCAAAATACTAAATAATATTGATATTAATATGTCAAGTGATACATTTTTCTGCCTTGAATAAAATGAATTCACATTTTTGATCACTTCAAATACTAAATTCTATTTTGAGTGGGGCGCTCAGCACAGATGGAGAATGGGCCATTTATCTACATGATCTCTGCATACAGTCCTAGCCCCCATCGGTATATCTAATTATCAGAGAAGAACAGAAGATAGTCCAACAATATCAAAATGGCCTACTAAGTTCTCAGGTTTCCCCTGAAATGGTATGCAGGAGGAATGTGGAAGTTATTATTTATGGAATAAAATGAAATATTATGCTTTCTGAAGAACAATTTTAGGAAGATATCCAATGTCCCACTTTTCTGTACTTTAGTGGAGGAATACATGCTTTTCATGAAAAATGTCCCAGGCTCAGTTTATAGTTTACTCAAAACAAAACTGAAGGAACATTCATAGAGTCATAGCTAATCAATAAGTCTATAATGAGCTATTGGGGTGGCCAATCTTTTTTAGCAATGTAACATTTGTCTGTTTTGCTCATGTAATCACAGCTTCTTGCAAGGCCAGGTAGAAGAAACACTTTTACAGACACTCTCTTCTGTGACTGAACTCATTAATTCACATCTGTGCCTTGAAAGAAAGATCATGTTGTGCTGGGTTGTGTACAGTCAGATCAAAAAAAAATGTCAATCCTCTTAGTGGGGAAACTGAAGTCTCTAAAACAATTTTATCCAACTTGGCATCGAGAGATGTTGGAATATAACCCCAATCAGTATGTCTCTTGACTGACGTATTTTCTTGAAAACGGCTCAATTAAGCCATGGAATAAAACGTTCATTTTAGTATCCGCAGTAACTAGGTAGAGCAGGAGCAGAAAGAAAAAGAGTCTGAAGCTGATCAATCTCTGTATTTCAACAGGTTAAACAAATAGATATTTATTGATTAGATTATTATATTCCATGGTACATTCACATTCTCAAATTATATGTATTTTGTATAAGAACAATTCATCAGATTAAGAAACTGGGTTGTTAAATTATTTTTTCAGCACAAAAGAGGATAGAAATGAGTTAACCTAATTTTAAACCCCACAGAGCCATGATTGACATGAACAGATATTGAAAGAGCTTAATCTGCCTGGCCTGGGTCTAGGCTACTAGACACACTTGCTAAACTGTAACAGGGGAAGCAATTTTGACTAGTATTTTGTGTGAATCTAGCAACTGGGACTTACTCAGCCAACTACATTTAAGCAAATTGTGGTTCACCGAGATATATGAATGCAGTATCAAACTAGGTGTGTAGCTAAGCAACTCTATCTATTTCTCCAAAGAAATCCTTATGATTTCTCCCCACAAAGATTATCCCTAAGTTTGAAAGCATCTAGATTCCTCAAACATATGGATCAAGCCAAGAGAAGCTTCAAATGGGCACTTTGCTTCAAAGAATATCATATAGTATCTTACGTCTAATTGCCAGAGTAATCACACTTCTTTACCCATCAACTAATCTTACAGAGTAAAATATATTTTTGGAATCTAGCTTGATTTAAGTAATGAAGACTGCTAGCTGAATGCTTAATTTTCTTAAATTTTAAAAGTAAAACGATTAAGAGATAATACTGTTTAACTATCACAAAAAGAACACAATAGTTAATCTTAATCCTTTTTTAAAATTTGTCCAGAGCAGTGTTTTTCAAATTTGACAACTTAAGATGGGTAGACTTCAACTCTCAGAATTTCTCAGCCAGCAGGTCCACCCATCTTAAAGCTACCATGTTTGAAAGACTACTTTAGTAAAATAAGGTATCTTTAAATCCAATTCCCTTTCTGATTGAATTATTTGGAAATTCTCTTTTTTTCCTGAAAATGCCACTTTAATCAGAAGTTGGAAGAGATTGTGACATTTACTGCCCTCTTTCCAAGTATATTTTTTTCCTCCTTTTTACCTGGAGTTCCACCTACAGTTTCCCAAAACTACAGTAGCCATTTTAGAGGAAGAGAGGTTGGGGCAAAACTGCTTTCTGCTTACATGTAGAAGCCCACATATGACAGAAAAAGTCAAGATATTTGCAATTTGCCTGGCCTGTAATTGACAGGCTGGACCAATGTGTCCATGTTATTTCCCAGCACTTTTAAACCAATTGTTGTTTGGCATGCTATGTGAATTAGTGGTTCAGAAATAGAATAGAACAAGCTGGATATACAATATCAACATCCCAGAGAATGCCTTCCTGAACATGAAAAATACACAAACAAACAAAGCCTTAGAAAAAAATTGGAAGAAAAACAGAAGATAAGATAAGATAAGATAAGATAATTTGTATACCGCCCTTCTCCCATAGGACTCAGGGCGGTTCACAGCATATTAAAAACAAATAGTATACACCAAATACAAAAAATACAAAATACAAAAATACAGAAATACAAAAAATAAACCCCGATAAAAGCCGAATTAAAACCAAATATTACCAGCTGTGTTTCCGATTAAAATACTTTTAAAATTATCCCTACCTAAAATCCTCCCTAGGTCAGGCCCGCTTGCTGGAAAAACCATGTCTTGAGGGCGCGGCGGAAAGTAAGGAGATC